TATAGGAAGGAGACAGGACACTACATATGATGCCTTCAACACAACCGCTGTCGACTCCTCCCGTAAACTAAGGCACTTGTGGTCGATGAGAGGAAATGGAAATCAGCGTCTCACCATTAACGGATTGAAAAGAATGGCGCCAGAAATAACATAGCCATGAAATTACATGGAAGGCCGACATTCCAACAGTTACAGATTGTTCTCCTTTCTGTAGCCAAAAACGAAACAGCGCTCTACATAAAGAAACTTGGCTCAAAATATCAAATGGTCTAAATGTTCGCAGAATATGCAACGAAAGGTTTATTCAGAAAATAGACCTAATAATTTTCTTTCCATCGGAAACACAGGCGGTCCAAGGTGCATCTTCCTGTAGCTAATAAAGCAATTAAAATCCTGATGGCGCGGCATTTGGCAATGTTTTGAGAAATTACGATCACAAGGCTTGAATGGCTATGTGATTGCGTGAATACAAGATTTGTACGATAGAAAGAAATGACGGGACGTGTGTATTGCACCCTGAAGATGGTTGATGCATAGACAATAGAGTTCTATAGGCAAAAGATTTATCTACTCCTTCGTGTCCTTATTTTTGAACGTAACAATCGTATATATGCTACTACACGGAGTGGTAATCCGATTATGACAGTAACGAGTAATTCATGTCGGTATGGTCTGATACCGAATTTCTGTTCAACCCAAATTCGTAATGTCGTTGGTTAACTTCATTGTCACGAAAGCCGTACCTCTTTTGCCTCAGCAGCGTTGCTTTCATGTTTAAGTTTACGCCGTGGCTTTGAAGATGCATAGGCAGAAATGTTTATCTTTGCAGTATAAACCGAAAAACAGATTAGTTTCCGTCGATACCGGTTCTGACTGATGCCTACCGGTGTAATTACTTATAGATTCTTTGTCAGATGATCTATCGCACTTACTAAAGTCCAATTAGTGAATTCCTCTGCATCCGTTTTTCTTGAATATAACGGGCTATTCATTCCTGTAAACGATTCCCATGCTCCATGGAAGTCGTACGACATTATATTTACCCAATCGAGGTACCTGAAAATGGAAACGAATGAA